TGCCCACGTTATGGCGAGCCCGCTGACGCTTTGTCTACTTATCAAGGCATTCGGCCGGCATTTCCCAAAGCTCCATGGGTTGTAGGATGGATTGGTTAACGTCATCCGTAGGAGGTCTCGAGGGAGTTCCACCTTGAAACGCGTCTCATCCCCGCTTGGAGAATTCTTCTTTTGTAAGGTTATATACGGTACTACCTGAGACAGTAAGCTTTTTTGGGCCGGTACTCGGCTATCAGTCAACCGTCGGGGGAGGAGTTCCAAGTTAAGATGGAGGAGGCAGAGTCTCGAGCCGCGTCAATATTGTTGCTCACTGTATCATCACAGCCGGCGGCAAGTTCAAAAATATTCCAGTGACATATGTAGCACATACAAGGCCGAGGGTAGGTGTCCATTTGAACGCGAGTGGGTGGATCCAAAGTTATTACCCGCCGAGGACGCCGCGAAGCGTGATCCAAAGACGGAGACACCAAAGGGATGAAGAAAGACCAATGATGGAACTGTTGTTTGTGCTCCTCTTTTGGCAAAGACTACAAGAGCAGATCTGTATATCTAAAATCTCAGTCGGGCCGAGGTCTACATAGGTTCAGCCCTCTTGCAACAGGTTAGGGCCTGTCACAGGTGCCGGACAAACTCACAAGTCTTGTTTGCTCGCCTGTGATTCGAATTTTGATATGAACGCTGTAACGTGTAGCCTGGATACATAGATTGTTGTGCTATAAAAATGAGGGTGGTACGGTGGATCTCTAGGGAGAGGGGGGAGGGGAAACTTTTCACGAGTAAGTCCATAACAAGTGCAATACCAGTGTGAAAAGCAAGGCCACTGAGTGTGGCCGAAAAAGAAATGGAGTACATAGGAGTCGAACCCATTACTTCTCCCAAGCCTACTTAATTTCAAGATGCTAAGGGAGCGCTCTACCGATGAGCTAGAACCCCTGTTGTCAAAATTGTTGCATAAATGGATTCCAACGACCACAGAACACCGCCTTGGGACCATCATGAAAAAGTGAGATTCTGATGACACAAGTACAGGAAATATATAAATATGAATACATCGTAAAGCTCGTGACTCCTAGTTCAGTCCGTTTCGTAAAGTCATCTCGAGGCGTGTCACTGCTGGCCGACCCCTGGGATTTAACATGCCGACGAGTCGCCTTCAGCCCAACGCTCTGTTCCATCACCATCTTCGTCGAATAAAACCTCGCCCCGCCATGCTGTCGACCGGCTGAGTTGTACTGTACGCAGAGTTGGACACTTTGCTGCCCATCTTGTGATAATTTTTCCGGTCATCACCGAATCCTCAGGTGGATCATCCATGGCATCGAAGATGGAAAGGCTGGTCAAGTTGACGAATTTTGGAAGTATAGAGGTGATCACATTCAGCTCTTCCTACGGTACGAACAAGAATAGTATGAGTTTGGTGTCTCAAGAGCCCTCGCGTTTCAAGTCTAGAAGACTCACTAAGGTGTACACCTGAGATATCAAGACGAGGCTCTGAACCATGGGCATCATAACCGCAAGGTGTTCCAAGGTGTCTACCAGCTGACTGTGCGGCACATACGATCCATTCGACATGGTAAAGCTGACGACACCTCCCTCACGAGCCTTGGCAAGTTCTTCCACCTCCTTCAGGTTGACCGGGCCCAGCCTGCTCCATACCAGACGTGGTGAGGGCGGTGAGAATCGGAGGACAGACTTTACGACCGAGTCGAATATTTGAGAAAAGGGTCGTGTTCGGGGTTGTTTCCGCAAGTCCGTGACGACTGCGTCGCGACCATGGTCGTCTTCAGGATTTACTATGACGACATCGTCCTCTCCTTTGTCGGAACGGGAGAATACGGTGCTGATGGATGTATCTGATGCATAAGACTCGACAGAGGACGAAGAGGTGTCTCGTTTATGACCAGGGGTGAATCGAGAGCGGATGGCAGAGCTGGATGCTAAAATTCGGGTGAAATCGACTTGGTAACTCATGATTGATGGGAGAGGAGGTTGAAGAGGCAGCGGAGGGGGGGAAGAGGTTGAAGGGGAGATGTTGAAACGTGGGGGCCGGCTTTATATTAGGATAACACGGACTGCCCAGCGGAAAGGATCTGATTGGATGGAGCGAATAATGTCGCCGATAATGGGCTCATATATCCAGCCTGTCGCCCGGAGCGTGAGCTTTGTGTGGGCTGTTCGTTGCCAATCCCGGGCATAGACCCGTGACAATATGATGACTAAGCGGTAATATTGACTCTTTTCCACGGAACAATCGCACCCTTCCCCTGCCGCAGAGCTTCAGGGCTATTTATCAAACCGCCTTGAGGGTCCAGTATCGACCCATGAGTCCAATAAGAGATCGGTGTCCGGTGAAAAACCGCTCTCCCATGCTGTCGCCCTCAGTCATGCACAGCATTGGCGAGCGCCATTCCTGAATGCGAGGCTGGGGCGAGGTGGCGCCCACTCGCCTGTTCGACTCACTTCTCGTCGAGGTTATCGGAGATGTCTTTGTACTCGCCGTGAGGCACAGATCCAACAGAGCTTCACCCACATTCGGACAGCTTTCCATTCACAGAGCTCCTGGTATCCCACTTTTGGAACGTGATTGTGACATCGAATCCTGCCGCATGGACGTAAGCCACCATCGATTCTTACCCTGTCTGGCGTCACAAGATCGCTAAACACATGGAGCACTGTGGCGGCCTGCCCTTGTACATTAACATCCTGATCGGCCCCGTTAGCTGCGTATTTGCAAGGCGATCAACCCCTAATGTTCTTGACAACTGGTTCTGGCCACCCACATTTGTAAATCCTAGCTCTGTTGGAACTCTCCCCTTCGTGAACAGCCTGAATACCTCTCCGAACGCGATGTTTCCTATATTATTCCCGTTGCGTCCTGACTTGACACCAGGATGGAAGAACATCAAATCGCTCGAGTTGATCTGCAACGGATCCGAGGAG